CGACTGCAGCTGTTGGAACACCCTGCGCAGGGCCAGGTACGCCCAATCTCCCTGCAAAAGCAGGGGCAGCCCAAAGCTCCCACCCTGTCCACATTGGCACTGCAGGTCTCTTGAAATGCTGGAGCTGAATCCACCACTGGAAGCAGCATGGCTGTGCCGACACAGCGCTCTCCAGGCTGACACGCTCCGCTTCGCAGTGGGACTAATTAGTGCAGGCAGAGAAGTTCATCAGCACCGTTACCTGCTTCCAGGGTGGCCCTGTGCAGCTGTGCCTCCCGTAGCTCTGGGGTTGAATAGAGCACTCGGGTTGGTAGCTGCCCTGACCGTACCCCACTACACCCCTGCACCCCAAAGTGATCCCAAATTACTCTGGTTTATAATACAGCTCCCTGTGGTACCTGAGCAGCTGAGGGGCTGGGGGAGGAAGGTGGCTCCATGCTTCCAAGAGAGGTGCTGTTCAGCATCCGAGTGTATGCGATTAATTTTTCCCATCCATCCCCCCACCATCGCCCCTCTGGACTACCATCCTAGGTAACTGCCACAAAGGGCAGGAGGCAGCATGCTGCTGAACACCGCACAGGCTGGAGAACCCCATCATCTTCAGTCCTCCATTTGTCACAAACCTCCAGCAAAAGTGACAGTCTGGGGAAGCTGTGAAGGGTTTCTGAGAAGAGATACCACTTCTGTTAATTATCCTGTATGCATGCTCCAACCTTTTTTAATGTTTGCCACTGGAGAGAAGAGCTCATCTAGAGAGGGGGAAGGGGGAGAAATGAAACGATTAAAAGAATAGACATAAGCCTAGCAAGGAGGTAACAAATGACAGAGCGGCAGAATGCTAATGCCATTTTCTTGGCCCCTTGTGAGTGGACCTGTACAGGTCATCAGAGAAGTCCTGCTCCAGTGAGCAGATCTCTCCCCAAAGGATTGTCCTCTGCAGCTATGAAAAATGTATGAGACAGAAAAGGCATTTTTAAAATCCTCTGCCAGGACTACCTTTGTTTAGTCAACAGCCACGTCTGACCTCTCCCTGCTTTCACAAGGACTGAGAAGTGGTCCTTTCTTTCGAGGGGATGCAGAGTGGGTGTAAGTGCTGGCCCAGGGAGCTGGAAGAAGATGGGTGCTGTGGGTTCAGACAAAGAAAGTTTCTCATCCAGTATCACAGTAACATTTTAAAAGAGCTTTATCTGGTCATTTGTGACCCTAAGACTTGTTTGACTTGCCATTTGCAATGTCTTTTTCCTTTTAAAACTGATACATATTGTTAGGAAATGTAAGAAAAGGTGTAGATAACTCTGCAAATATAATAGGATTTCCCAGGTGAACATCAATCTAATGTTTTCTAAAGCCCTGTTCTGCCTCTAAACCAAATATATATATATATTTAAGTATGTGTGTCTACACATAATTTGTGCGATTCCAGTAGCATTAATATTAACATATCATTACCTCCCCATTAATCTTCAGGCAGATCCCCATAAAGCACTGCTGAAACCTCCTGAAATAGCAGCTAAAACCAATAGTGAAAAACCACGTAGCAACATCTTGCTTTCACCTCCTGCTTCAGCTGGGAGGAGGGAAGGAGGGCAGCCAGTGTGAGCAAAGGAGAGAAAAACACCACTTGATCGTTGTTTTTAAGCAACAGCAGGTTTATGAATATAACTTTGCCAAAAAACCCAAATTAAATATGCGACACATTTTGCATGTTCCTGCTGCCAGATGAAACAACCTGTCTTTGCACTCTGCCATGGATGGCGGGTTCTCTTATGGACATAGCCGTTAATAAAACCCTGGGGCGGGTGTTTGGACCATAACATTAACCTCCTAGAGACACTTCCCAGTCAAGAAGAAAGAAGGAGCCTCATTAGTGCCCCTGGGATATTGTGAGGTATCTCATTTGAGTTCAGCATCCTCTTAACCGTACCTTGCTGGTAATTGGGTGTTTTGCTGTCTGACTGTGATGCCCGAGACTGGCACACACTCCACACAGCAGCACAGCTACTCCTGCATCCACAACCAACCTCATCTTCCCACTCCTCTGCCCAACTTTTCTCCTTTCCACCATCTTCCCAACTACAGCAAGTCAAGAAACTGGTAGAGACACTCATTTTGTCTACTCCAGTAAGGCAGTTTCCTGATTCTAAAAATACTCCAGGAAATCGAATCAACATTTTGTAATTTGGCTGGTAACAGCAATTACTAATAATCAGCAGAAACATAATTTTCTTCATTTTCTACTTTATCTGTAATGTAATTTCAATAGCAAACTTTGTTTTGCACACTAAACAAACATGATGGGCAATATAGGAAAAACGCAGAGATAAAACAGTATATCAAAAATAGCCTTAAAAATAAATAATCTTCTATCAAATAGCAAATAATTGTCATTCAAACAGCCTTTTGGAGAAGTAAAGTTAATACTGTTCCTATGCTCCCCTGTAAAATGAAAGGTCCACTCCACTCTTACCCGGTGACAGCAGCGCTCAAAATTGCAGTCCTAGCTCTTGGGTGTGCCAGAGGCTGGAGGCATCACCCTTCCTGCCCGACCTCCCACAGATGCAGCAGAGAACAAAAGACAGGGCAAGGTGAAGAGCACATACACAACTTGAAGGACTGTACCAGATGCAAGACTGCAGTCAGGCAAACTACTCATTTCATGAAGCCCGTCTCTGAAATAGGTTTTCTGGGGACTAAGAGTGCTCTTGCAGATAAAAAAAAACAAGGAAGGGTGATCAACTCATTGTTTTTTCTTCTGGCCAATAACAGCAGATGCTACACTGCTTTGCAAGTATCAGTCCCTAACGGGTATTGATGAGTGGATCAAGCCAGCTTGGCAAAAGAAAAATACTACTGAATTACGGTAAGTCTTGCCACACTCAGGAGCTGCTCAGAAAGACCCTGCTTACTGGCAACACTGTTGCACAGCATTTAGAAATGGCACATTTTCTCTCTGTCCAGTTTAGAAGACACCCTTTACTAAGGCTCAGAGCAAGCTGCAGATTCTCTACAATCCTCAAGCAAAAATGGACTACAGTCCAGTTTCCCATTTCAAGAAGGCCAGAAGGAACACCCACGCACTAACCCCTATACACCCCAGTTTGCACATCAGCTATCTGCATCCTTTCAAAGGCCAGATGATAAGCCTGAGTTGATAAGCTCAGGCAATGCAATAATTTCAGAATGGAGGCAGGTGTGCACCTGAGTCCCAGAGTCTATAGACAGCCCACCCAGGAGCATCACCTGGAGCCAAATAAACAGACCCACAAAGCATAAGGCAGCATCAAGCACCTATTGAAGAGGAACCATTACAAGGGATGGATCATTCCCAGATAATTTTGGTAACAAGATCACTTAAGTTCCTTTGACTAATTATTCAGTGAATAGTATATACCAAGCTGGTCTTTGGCATTTCTGATCTTGGAATAAACTGGGAACTAGACACATTGAAAAGACGGGATTTTGAGAATCCTCACATTTACTTTTCTTTCAGAAACATCTTCAGCAGCAGCCCCTGAACCAGGGTTGATGAGTTTTACATACACTGCTTTGTTGCCAGCACACTCTAGAGCAATCGCTGCTTTCCAAGGGCTAATTTGGATGGGTGGTAAAGCATGCACCACTCACACGGCAAGACTCGGTCTACCTGCTGCCAGAAAGCTTTATAATTAACCAGACTACTATTTTTTTTAGCACTTACTGCAAGGCTTCTCATTTGAAATTGGATTCTTTTTTCATCTGCTTTTTGGACAGATTTTTTGTCTCTAGAGGAATAAGAGTCACACTGGAATATGACTCAAAGCTGGCTTTCGTTTGTAGTTCCAAACAGCCTAAACTACTCAGGCTTTTGAAGACAGGTTCCTGTTGGAAAGAGAAAACCCACCAGTGGTCTGTGTTCTTTGTGCTGGTGCCCAGCACCGTCACTAGCTACTGGCATGGGGGGCTCCCACCGTGGCCCTGCAGACCCCATGGCTTCATGCTGATCCTGAACATCACTGGTGCCAGAAACTTGTCAGGAGGCTCACAAACACCTCAGACCCTGACAAAGGCAAAGGCAGAGGCAGGCAGAGGGCACGTTGAGGGAAAGACAGCAAAGACAGGCAGAGGGGAAGGAAACATCAGCTGCTAACAAGTTTGTCACCTTAATTTGATAGCTCAGCAAAGCCTGCAAAGTCTTGATCCTCAGTGATAGCAGTCAGGTGCCATATTTAGCTTCACCTTTGATGTAATGTCAGACTAAAGCATGCCTAGATCCCCCCTCTGCCATCATTTTTCTCAACCGCTATTGCAGCTGCAGTGCAGACAGGTCTGTGCTGCTCGTGGATCCGTCCCTTTGCTGTCTTACCCAGGCTTGCCCAGGACAGAAGTACAGCCACATCAGGCTGCTGGGATCAGAGTAGAGGCAAAGCTTCTACAACAGCGGCTGCAGTGCTTGGGCTGGCCTCCACACAGCTGAACTTCACCTTGTAGAGAGGGGGGCTTTTGTCTATTAAGTGCTAGAGCAATCACTGCACATGGGGATATTTTGGACAGGAGGCGGGGAGGCGTGGCCCAAGTACAGGGGATACAGAGAGAGCATGAAGAGGCAAGACCACGGATCATTCCAGTTTGTCGTGTGTAGAACAGCTGGATAGGACGATGCTTACAGAGATTCACAATGTTACCCTTTATAGTACAGTAAAGCTTTTAGATAAAGTGGAAAAGATGAAGAGCCATTTAAATGCCCTCATGGTTAAAACAAAGCACGATTTCAGATGCCATAAAGATCAGGTTGCACTAAGGAAAATGGCCTGAAAAAAACACCAAGACCAAAGAAGTCATAATGGCCATCATGATGAAACAAAAACCAAGCAGAAATCGAGATTTTGCAAAGTTTTGCAAAGCAAGTTGCACCCCTGCAGCCTCTGCAGAGTGTAGCTCTCCAGAGCACCACTGCCCCTGCGCACTATTACTGTGATCCAAAGGCTCTGTGAAACAGGAGGGTGTCAGCAAGGGAAACTTACTTGGTGTTGTCCGAGTCAATGGTATGAAAGAGCTTCTCAAGTTCTTCTTCATTGAGTGTCCCATCAGAAAAAAAGGCCTGGAACTCCTCCAGGGACAGCTTCCCATCATCTGCAAACAGCAACACAGCCACCATTAGAGAATGGGCAAAGCAAGGGGCACAACAATTGAAAATCAAGAATTATGTTCAGATTTAAAGATTCAGACCAAAGTGATCTCAAAGTGCTTCTGCACAACTGGCCCTCAACCAGCTCAGAGCTCACTGGCCACAAGGTGGGACCTGGCAGCACCAGATCCAGGTGAAGCTTCATTGCTCCTGTGTATGGATGCACTGGCCAGAAGCTTCATTGCTCCTGGGTATGGATGCACTGGCCATTAGCAACTAATTGAGCTATAAGCCAAAGCATGACTCAAGACTAAAGATGAAAAGCCTACAAGCTTCATCCTAAAACTGAATTACGTTTAAGAAATTATGGAGCATTTTGTCTACTCTACATTCAAATGATGCAGGATGCTCATTAAGGGACATATAATAGATAGGCAAAGACCCAGGGTTGGAATTAATGACAGGCCCAGCAGTATCTTTTGCCATCTCCATCCAGCTGAATCTTCTCCAACACAGTCCATCTTCCAGCTCTGGACAGAAATGAAAATAGCAGCTACCAAGCATAACAAGACACATCTTGCTTCCCTTGTCAACTATTTAAACATGCAAGGACTGTGTCACCTTAATGTTGTGGCTTTACTTCTAAAGTGACCTGATGACGGACAGAATCCATCGGCCTGGCCGTATGGGCTACAGCTTGCTGGGTGCCTTTTGGCAAACCTACCAGCATGCGAAGGAGTCACAAGACAGAGGTTTAATAATGTTCTCCTGGGCATCTAGAGAGAAACTTGCAGTAATTTCAGCAACAAGCTCCAAGTTCATCCTTCAACATTTATTTTGATACCAGCTCTGGCCAGAAGTGCATAGGCACTTCAGCAGCCTCACCTCCAGCTGTGCGAAGTGGCCTTACAGGTAGTCAGTGCTTGTGGGAAATTGGCTCTGGCCTCAACTCAGAGACTGAACAACAACATCTAGAATATCTGGCCGTACGCTTCACATATTGTTTTATATATTGGCCCCAGCATTAATTTAATACTAGGCTTACTGCAGCCTACTTAAGTGACCAAGAGAAAAAAAAAAGTTAAATCCATGTACAATGAGATATAAGGAAGACTCCTTTGCAACTTTTGCTGATAAGGCAACAAAAGTTAAGCCTAACTGTTAAATCTAGAGCCTTTCTCTGCGTTCTGTGAACAGGTACAGCATGTCTTTAAAGCCACAGCTGAAAGTCAGAAGATCTGGAGAAAGCTCCTGTAGATTCAGCAATAAAGCAATGGGAGAGAGACAGAACAAACTTTAAAGAAACTTTAATTTACCTCTAGTTTCTCATTCAAGCTGCTGACACTGTGCTCTGGTGTAAAGCAGTGCCTAGGGGGGGATAACTACCCCAGGTCACATATCATTTAGTCTTTCCATTCATATCCACAAAAGATTCACAGACTGGAAATGCTGCCTATTTTGTAGTCAGAGAATGTATCATTTATTATTTAATCAAATCAATTATAAACCCTGTTGCTTCTCTTTCAGGAAATGATGCTAGAGGACAAATTAGCCAACTTACCACATACATATCAATATTTCTACCCCAAACCAAATAAGTCTGCTGCTCCTAAAACATACCTGCATTGCCAAATGCTAACCCAGTTTCCCTTGCCTGACAGACAAATTTAGACCAGTGATAAATTGTGTCTAAGATGCCTATTTAATTGACAATTACAAAAGAAGCACAGCAGGAGAACAAAATGTACAGCAACACTGGGTGAAAAGGGTATCATTTTCAGAGAACCACAATGGCTACAGGCAGTGCCCAGCTGCCTACATTGTTTTGCTGTGTTCCTTCCCCAAAAAGTGACCTCTCTACAGCAGGCAGGGTGCAGAATATCAATGCACAGCTCAGAGGATGGTCCCAGATTTGCTGACAGTTTCTGATTACAGGAAACTAAAAGCATCTGCACTTCAACAAGAACCTATTGCTTGAAGCACCCCACCAGTGTCACCTGGAGACTAACCCAGTGGTGACACTCTTTGCTGAAAGAGATAAAAAGCCTGGGCCCAGAGCAGAGCCCCATCCGCACCATCCACCTCTGCGTATGGCACAACTGGATGAGAATCTTCCCCCACAGCGCTCCTATTTATGCAGTATCCTAGCCAAGATCAAGTTTTGGTTTCTCCTGATCCTGACTGGCAATGAATATAGGTCTTCAAGCATCAAGATCAAAAGGATAACAGCATTTCTATCCCATGAGGGCTAAACAGTTCTTTATCTCGGGTACAATTCCTGCAAACCTTAAATCAGTGTGTGTTCATCTCAAAATTGTCCTTCCACAGAGAGGGCAGGCAGAATTCCCAGGAAAGTAACATAAATCAACTTACTGAGAAAGAGAAACTGTGAAATCAAGTGATTTTTTTTCAGGAGAGTATTTTAATCCAAATTTACAGTTTTCTCACCTCTGAAAGGCACAAAGGTGTTTCTAAGTTTAAGGAAAAAAATCTTTTTCCTTTATCTAGTTTATATCTTATAACTTGTCTTTCATTTTACTCTTGCTTGATTTTTTTTTTTTAAGTAATGTGTGCCAGGCTGCATTTTTGCTGCAGTGTCTGAAACATCAGTGTTTAAAATCTATGCCAAAATGCTGCTCTGATTCCTATCTTGCAGCCTTCAAAGTTGTAGGTACTAACTACCATGATGGGTCAGACCACTGAAAACCACCAGCACGCGTGTCAGATTTTTTGAGGCATTTAACAGCCCAAAGTAATACAGGACAGGCGAAGGATCTAGAGGAAGGAGGCAGTGACAATAAATTTTATTTCATTTTTCTTGTTTGGAGACCCCACAGAACTGGTTGTCCCCTAGCAGGAATTTGAAGAAAAGCACAAATTCTACTCATAAACAGCGCTCGAGACTTTCACCCCCCAACAAACAACACCATCATGAAGTACCAGTCAGCTTAAAGCTGATCATCATTTAATACAAGCTGGAATACTTGTCTGCAAACACACAAAGCAAAAGTCTTCCAGAGTAACGACATAATCTTTTGGCTGCATATCTATAATTGTGAAACAGCCTGAAAGCCGTGGGTTGCTGGAGGCCAGCATGCAAGGAAGCCTTTGGGGAACTCAGGCGATAAGGGGAAGCAGACCAGGCTGAGATTTGGCAGTTAAAATTAAACTGGTAGAAAATCCTGGGCAAGAAAGATTGACCACAACATTACTGACAGCAGGTCCACCCGCCGATGTGTGCTGTGATAAGGGTTGATAGGGACGCTGTGCTCCAGGAGCAGCCTTATCAGGAGAGTCACAGAAAAGTGAGTTTTTTTCTGAAAGCAGAAGTGCCTGTGCTTGCCAAAGAACCAATAAGACTTCCAGAAACCTACTTTTTGCCAAAAGCTCCTCAGTGCAAGAGATATAAATTCTCCAAATGAACTGTCAGGTGTTGTACCAGAGCGGCAGCGTCAATTGTATGGTTTGACTCATACATGCCCTGCCCGGTAGGAGCTCGTCTGGGGACACTTCAGCCCTAGGTAGCTAGTTTTGATAGGAAGGATAATAGAAAAATTGAGATTCCACACTGAAGCTCACTAAGCAAAATAAAGCCTCCATCAGTTTTAATATCTAGAGAAGTCTTTGTGACTATCACCTGTATGAGCACACTAATGGCAGAAAACCTTCTTTCACCCTACTCACCTCCCTCCCCTTTAAAGCCAGTACTTGAAGTCAACACCTAAGCTGGCAGCGAGGACAAATGCCACCAACTAGAAATCGCCTACATTGGTGCTGATTGGCTGAGAAAGGAGTTAATCAGGCCACAGCTATTCTGCCATCATTTTTTCCTGCGAGAGTAATCTTCATTTTACTCTAGCTTTTCAAAATAATCAAATCACAGGCAAAGACCAAAGCAAATTACTGGCCAAATAGAGTTATCAAAGTTAAAACTAACTGAAGAGAGAAGGATATAACAGAGAACATCAGAAAGCCCCAACTGGGATTTCATTATTGCTCCATTTGTCATCGTGAAAATCTGAGGAGTCTAGAGGCAGCTTTTACGCCTTCTAACTCGCACAATCAGGCTGTTCCCACTCACTAATGCAGTCAGGGGAAAAATCAAACTAAGATCATAAATCGTCCAAAATATAAGAAATCTGATGGCTGGGTTTTTGGAAATTCACTCAGTGATTCAAATAGCTTAAAGCATCTACAAAATAAGGTCACTGTTCTGAGCCTGAGTTTGCTAAATCCATTTTCAATTACATCAGGTTGAGACTGCTCATATATTTTCTAGCTATATTATGAATATATTTCATTACTTATTTTTATTACTCTATGAGTTCTGAAACGCTTTAAGACCCGCTTAGTGTGCAATTGCCAACAGAGCTACAGGTAAGCAAATTTGATTTTATTGTGGCCTGTGAATAAAAATGACAACTGTATTTCTTTTCTTCTTTGGTGGGGGGTGTGTGTGTGTGTGCAGATACATGAGCCAGCAAGAACATGGACTGGCTTCGACCCTGGATCCTTCATCCAGCCCCCTCGGAAGTCAGCAGCAGTCATTTATTCATTTAAATGAAGCTGGATATAGACTTGAGTTTTCAGCCCTGGGCTGTTAGGAAAAATTATATTCAGATCCACAGATCCTATCTGAAAAACGCGGATCGGATACTAAATGTGAGACTTAAAAATAACCCTCTTAGAGTTTTTAAGCTGCAAAACCTGCCTTGAAATCTGGATATTCTCCATGTTCAAGCAGCTGGACCCATTAGGGGATTTCTGCAGTGGGACTGCACCTATGGGGATGTCCTGGGCAGGCAGTCTACCGCTTATTGCCCCGTTTCCCTGTACCATGGCTCTGGCTGTAACACAGATACACTGGGAAATGCATACTGAGAATCAGCTGCAAGGGGAGGTCATGCTGAACAGGGGCAAGGATAATGAAGCCAATAGGCTCCTAAGCCTGGAGACAGTAGTTTCATCTGCCATTTTCAGAAGAATTCAGTGTGCATTTTTCAGA